TTTCTATCCAACTTTTACTTTTTTCAGTGCTGCTGCAACCTGGGTTATCCTCCATATTTTCATTTAATGTTGTTACTTTGTTTTTTTTAGAATCCAATTTTATCAATTTCTTGATTAATTCTTCGGATACATTAACCATTTTTAAACTAGCTTTGTTCTTGCTTCTTTTATTGATTTTTCGCAACATAACTTTATTGTCATCACCATTTGTATTATTTAAATTCACTTGATTTATCGATGTATTATTATCACTCCGCGAGTTATTTTCCACATTGCTTGGCAAAACTGTTGTATCTAAAAATTCACTGTCGCTTTCTTCCGAAAAATCACTCATCATAACCTCGTCATTATTTATAACATGTATCGATTTAACTATTTGGATACCTGTTTGCACCTCCGTACTATTGTTTTCCTTATCTATACCAGCAGGTATTGATGCCCCGCCGGGTTCAAACGGTTTATACTCCATTACTTATGTAACTCTTTTATTGTATTATTACTAGTCGCTTCGATCCGTACCGTTCGGTTGCTCGAGCTCGAATGAAGGTTACAGAGCCTAATATTGGCCATCATAAATTTATATTATTGTCTTCTGGAATTCGTTTATTCAATTGGACAAACCAAAATGGATATACTCGCCAGGTGATACAATCCTACTTTTCGATATTCTTTCAGTTTTAAATAATGTCCTACTATCCTGAGGTAAATCAGAATAGCATTCATGTTTTCTCATTTGCTTTAAGAGAGCTGATAGAGCATTATGTTGAACATGGTAAAACAAAGCCCATTTTTTGAGAAAATCTGAAATACTATCTGATGAATTTTTATCTTCCTGAAGATTCTTTTCTGGAGAGGCAGTCGATGGTGCTAAACTATTATCAAAATTATTTATAATTGATGGTTCTGAACTACTATTAAAAGTCATAGAAGAGCCACTTGATGGTACCATGTTACTAACTATATTGTTTATTATTGATGTTTCTGGGCACATAGTTAACGTCACAGAACTTTTCGACGACGTGCAATACGCAGCGATAACATCGGTTACCTCTTAATTAACTCGCCTTCGAAATTGTCTCTTTGAAATAAGTCCAACACTTTTAACTTTTCTTGGTGCCATATTTTAAGAAAAAGATATTTTTAAGTTCTTTACTTCAGTCAATATAAAAATATTTAATTAATATTATTATTTAAATATTATACTATAATATAACTATAAATATAAGTTGATATTTAATTAAATATTATAAGAAATCAAACGTCAACTACTTCACAAAAAATTACTACAACAGAAAATGAAATGTATTTAATATGGCGTCGGTAAATGATTAATACGCTTTGTCAGAAAGGGTTAGTAACGCGCTAAAAGGAAAGAGAAATGTTGTTTGGGCACTGTTCTCGCGTGCGGACATGACGGATCGTCCCCGGACTATCTTGTGCTGTATGGGTACAAACAAAAAACACTATTATTATACGAATAAATATATACGCATTTTTATGTAAATTTTTCTTAAAAACAGTAATTATGAAATATATTTTAAGTAATTCGCTTCTTGATCAAAATTGATATGCTCTCAAACTTGGCTTTAAAACTTTTTTTTGCAGCTTACGAAGTTTAACAAATTTGTGCAAAATTCTATTTCTGAATTAGTTGATTTAGATTCGATTTTTTGATTTTGGGATATATTTTAAAATATATTAATACAATGCTTGATTTGCTCATAATTTGATTTGTATTGAAATTGAAAATAATGATCTTAGAGATTTTAGTGAATTCCAAAAAAAATCATGGTATTTGTTTATTCGGCAAATATTTATCATACCGCAGATCCCGAATAACTGTGAAATGGAGACCAGCATTGGTTAAATATGGTTAAAAAACATCAGTACAATATAAAATGATAGTACTGACAATACAGTTAAGCTAACCATAATAATGTGAAAAAGTTCTTATCTGATTGGAAAAATAATTAAGATAAAATTATTGCTTAGATCACAATATCATATCAAGATTATTGCAAGATTAAGTATTGAGTCTCTCATCCGATTAACTCGAGAATTAGTAGCTAGGTTAGTTTAACCTTTGTGGCAGTGGACTGTGAAACACTGATTTATTGGCATAATTTATGTATTTGGTGCTGTTCTAATTACACTATTAATTTGTCGCTAAGATCAAATTGAAGAAGATATATTTATTGATTATTTATTACATATGTTCTTATGCGGAGTTTTGGAAGTAAACAATTAGTCCCACCAAACTCTCTGCTACCTCTCTACAAGGGTAGTAATTTTCAAGTACATATATATATATATTTTACCAAGCTTCATCTTCAACACAAGTTCAAATGTAAATACATTCAATGTACTCAGAATTCTAGAAGAAGGTCTCCTATAGTTGGCGATTTTTTTATACGTGTATGGTTTTGACGTAAACTGCATTTACCAATCACAGTTTTAAAAATCATTTCTACTTACATTATTCTGCAATATTATGAATATTCTGCATTATTATCCATACATGGTCTTATTCATTGTATTAAAAACATAATGCAGTTACTGGATGATGTGCAGCTCAAAAGTATATAAATATGATTCTATAAAATGAATTTTATGCTAGATATACAGCCTTTCTACGTCTAAAGATTCAAATGTACTGTATGTATATAGATTCAAATGTACCATATTCTAGTACATATTGTAATTTAATATTATGTATACTATCAGTAAGTTGCTAAACATGGTATAATAAAATTATTGTTAGTAACAGGATCAGAATAATTCATTATTAAAACGAAGCTGAAAAAAAAGCAAATAAATAATATGCCGAGCTTATGAACAAAAATTAGCAGAGAATTAATCTGAAAATAAATATATAGCTCTGAAGTAAATAAATAAACAAATTGTATAGGCTAATAAAAAAAAATGCATGGAAGAAAATGCTTGGAAAAGTGTAACACAAAATTACCAAGAATGGAATCTTACAGTAGATCTCAAAATAAATCAAATTATGAGCAAAATTTTCCATACTGTATTCGATAGTGTTAAATTATGTCATAACCACAGGAGTAGTTTTGTCTTATTCCATATTTTCTGAAATCGGATATAAAAAAGTTTGTACAAATTTGCACTATATATCAATATTTAATGTGTATCCATATATTAGTCGTTCAGTTCACAATAATCAACTTCATGAAAACTAAACAAAGTCAAAATACTTTTTTTTTTAAATATTTAATATATGCTAAATATATGTGTATGTTTATTCATATATGCAATACTTTTACGTTTACTGAACGGCTATAATAATGATCATATAAATACAACGAATTCATAAATGAATATGACTTGAGCATTCTTCTTGATTAAGAAACGAAATTTTTTATTCAATTATTCAGCGATGGGTTTTATTAAAAATTCTAGTTTTATAGTTTGTACATGATAGTGTCTTGTATGTTACCGCAATTCAAGTTTTAATTCACATTTGTTGATCTTACAAAACATCGACTATATGATGGTAAATGCACAGATATTTTTATCATATAAGTAGGACTTTATATAGAAATGGAAATCTTTTGGCTACACAGTTATGATACAAATCTATTACTAATTCTGCACCAGAGTCAGCAGAGTTACTCGTGTTCAAGCATTTATTTAAAGAAAGTGTTTTTCTTGCATAGGCAATAATTGACTGAACTTTTAGATTTTTTGTTCCATGTTTTCATTGCATCTCTCACATCTACTGTTGATATGTCATGGTCCTCATTTACATTTAATGTCTTTGTATTGCTTTTTTTTTCAAACGTTTAATATTGTTTTTCCTGCTTTGCTTCTCCTGACTTCTATTTCTTCTCTAATATAACTTTCGTTACTTTTCTCAGAATTAGGTTTTTGTAGTAAAGGAGATCTGTTTATTAAATCATTATTGCAATACTCGATTTAATCCTTAATTATGTTTATACAAGATCCCATCTTTATATTTTTAACACCATGACAGACATTGTTTTTAATGTATTAAAATATGATTCCACAACAGCATTTGAATACAAATGTTTTCTGTCGTTGTCTAGCATTAGACCTCACCACAAAGGTATAATTGGAATATATCTGTTCAATATGTAGTTTGAAAATGCCGGGTTAAAGAAAGGATTTTTGTATCCTTTCTTCAGCATATGTTTGACAATTTTACATTTAATATTAAAAAAGTGTTTATAAAATAGACTATTTTTTAAAATATCTTCACATGATGTAGGGTATTCTGTTATTTCCAATTCATCATTATTTGTTGAGATTGTCTTGTTGAGGTTTATTAATGATTCTTCATTTTCTAACTGATTAATTTCCTGAATCGCTAAATCTATTTCTTAAGTATTTTTCTTGCATAGGTAAAAATTGAACTTTTTGTTTTTGATTTTTTGTTCCATGTTTCCATTGCATCTCTCACATCTACTTCTTTTATTTACATTTAATGACTTTGTATTACTTTGACTATATGATGGTAAATGCAAGAAGTTTAGAGATTACATATAAAGTTTTTTTTGTTCCTTATTTATTGTCTTCAAATACATATAAAGTTAAATTATTATCAGCCGAAAACCCAGATTCTTTTGGTATTTCATGTAAAATTTTAATAATTTTCAATTTCTGTATAACTCTTTCTACATGTATACATACGCTAGCTACAGAGTATGATCAATGATATCTCCCGGTGAAAGTAATTCATTTTAAACAATCGACTGATGCATAAGAACTGTCATTATTCTTAATTGAAATACTCAAATATGGCAAACATTTCAAAACTTCTTTTCATTACTTATGGATTTACCTTTACCAGCCAAGACAGCATCTCCAGGTTCAAATTTACTTGTATCAGTAATTAAATAAAGTCATCTGGTGTACAATCGATCAGAGTCTACTAAGTTAAAAGATCAAAAATAAGGTGATCTTTCATAGCATTATTTATATTGTTGCTATATTTTTTTCCAAACGATCTATTGTTACAGGAATGATTAAAAGATGTATAGAAGTTTGTGATCTACCGAGATGCTGCCGATTTCAAATTATCACACTTTGTTTAAATTTTTGAAGGAGCGTATATACTTGGATAAGGGCTATATCAAACCGATTAAAAGATAAGTAGTTTAACTGTTGTATATTTAAATAAAATAATACGATGTTAAGATTTATGCATGATATATATGTTATACAGTTGAAATAATACTTGTTGTTCACTGATTTGACCATCCGGTTCGAATGGCCAAAAGTATGTTAAAAGATAGATTGCAAAATGTGTAAGAAGTCCGTGATCCACCGAGATACTACCGAACTCTATTAAAACACTTGCACTTTATTTATATTGTCGAAGGACCAGATATACTTAGATAGTGGCTATATCAGACCGAATAAAAGAATAATAACAAATGTTTAATTATTGTATATTCGAATGAAAGGTTAAGATTTATAGATGATATGTTGCTTTGAATGTTGATTTAAGACTTGTACCTCCTCCACAGGTATCTTTTGTAACGTTGAGAATGTCAACTCTTCTGCAGCATCTTTAGTTGAGACTAGAGAAAATATAATACCATCGACTCGGATTTTCTCGCGAAAACAAAGTTTGTAAGTGTAAAACGAAGGAATAGTCATTTCAAACTAAATTATAAAAGTTAAAAATTAAAAAAAGCATGTACCGTAATTACGTTACGTGTTATTATATCCTATAGTATTCTGTGTATATATATATATATATTAGGGTGGTCCTTAAAATGGTCATTTTCGAATTTTATTGCTCCCAAAGGCTCAAATGGTTCCAAATTGATAAAAAACAATTCTCTGAAAGTTTTAGCTCTAAAAATTAACGTTTAGATAGAGCGCAATTCCATCAAAGTTTGTATGGAAAGAGCATGGAAAAAAATTTGAAAATTAAAAAAACGTGTTTTAGGCGTAACTTAGCGACAAATGAATGAGTTTTATTCATTCATTTGTTCGCTAAATTACATCTAAAAAACATTTTTAAACTTTTTGAAAATTTTTCCATGCTATTTCCATATAAAACTTTGATTGAATTGCGCTCTATCTAAACGTTAATATTAAGAGCTAAAACTTTCAGAGAATTGTTTTTTATCAATTTGGAACCATTTGAGCCCCTGGGAGCAAGGAAATTCAAAAATGACCATTTTAAGGACCACCCTAATATATATATATATATATATATATATATATAATGTTAAATTTTTATAATTTTGATGTTAAGATATGTGATATTCAGTCTTCAGGGCAATACATCAATTAAAAACTTATATGACTTTTAAAACATTTTTATTGTTTCCATACGTTTCGACACATAGTTTTGTGTCATCCTCAGTGGACTCTGGTTTAAAAACACAGATTAAAACTATTAATTAAAACTAATTTATAACAAAGTGGTATGGTGTAAAAACTTAAATGTAATTGTAGTAATCCTAATTATTTCATAATGATAATTGTTCACAAATGCACGATAAAAAATAATTCTTGTCACTTTAAATCGGAACAATTATATAAAATTTTTTAAAACGAATTTTTTATTGTATAGTACATCTTGCAATTTCGTATTCCGATGCGAGAGTGAAGCCTAAATGTGCACCAATGTGCGCACCACAAGTTAAAAGTTGGGTAGGAGGCACACGAATTGACCCTTACACATGCGTGTAAACCCTCACACATGCGTGGATGTGTTTGCAAATATTTGATCTTATCAAATAATCTATGCAACTGCATGCAACCAAATCTATGTACGTATGCAACCAAATCTTACATCTTTCGCATCTCATGCATGTACTATTACATGTTTGATTTTTTTTGATAACCACGTATGGTGCAACGGTATCATCTGTTGGCAATACATTCCATTGTGTGTTGGGAATCCATTCTAGATTACGATGCGGCAATAGTGCTGCACCGCTTACATGGGTTACACGTACATCTCTCTGCCTCGTCGATAGTAATGTTCCATTTACTCTACGGGTCCTCTGAATAAAAGTATTTATTTCGAGGCGTAACACCAATTGAATGGCCTTATCCATCCTCCTAGAACACTTTCTTCCCAAAACTCGAGTTTTCATTTGTTATGAAAACTTTCTAAAAACATGTTAGTATTTATTCCTAAACCTTTCCGATAACAATACGCCCAAGTAGTTGCTCGGTTGTAATAAAATTTATTAAAATATGTAACAAATAATTTAGCATCGTCATCTTTCTCAAGCTCATTCAAATAAGAATTTAAATTGCTCCAAAAATCATCCCCATCTAAAATCATTTTTAATTCTATTGATTTCTGGTAAATGATTTCTCGCTTTTCTCTATTTACAATCTGTGATACTGCTCCCTTCCAGCTCCTGGACACATGTCAGGAGCATAAACTTTATGCTGTGGTACACCCATGACAGATGACCATGCATTAAAATAAGCTGGAGCATCCTCTGTCATGAATACCTTTGTTTCAAGTATACCTATCACCTTATAAATATCTTCGAAATATATTTTACACATCCTCATCTTGCCTATTTGAAAACCAAAATGCGACTGGTATGCCGCTTCCAAATTCATCTACCACAAGCAGTGTTTGTAGCAGATACCCATAGCCATTCGTCCCATGACTACCATCAATACAAACTCTGTCAGTACCAAAGTTCTTCAACATTCTACATTGCATTTTTGTCAAGATTATTAATATATAATCTTCATCTTGAAGCCCGTACTTAGCAGTGCCAGGTCCAACTTCTTTATGAAAAACAAATTATTTAAATGTTTTTGACGCCATGTGTCACTTGCCCTTGCAGTAGGGATGGCGCATTTGTTAACATTTCCAAACTTTCCAGACATAGTGAATAACTGTAATGATAAATGAAGAACTTTATATGAAATACAAACGAACTTGTAAATACTGATAATTCACTCTTTTGTGGAAAGATATCTTTATCAGAATTCTGATACAAACAGACATAAATGTCTAAATTATTATAGTAATTTACATAAACTCCAGGACGTCTGCACAAAAATCTAATTTATTATAGTAGGGAAGCTCGTGGATACGCGTGAACTCTCAAAAATAAAATAAAGCTTTGCCATAGAGCAAAGCTGTAGATATGCCTATGCCATGGGCTGTAACACTGGACTGTCCAGTCATAGATAAAAGAAGAGTATATAGATCGCTCTCTCGGGCGATCGTAGATATTTCGTTACCACTGACACCAAGTTCGAGCTGCTCTCCCTTGGTGCGCACGCGTCGACCGTAGAACGGGTGCGTACAAAAAATACTAAAGAAATGCACCAATAATGTAGACCGTTTGAATTCAAAATTAAAAAAAAAGAAATTGAATTTTAAAAGGCATTTATTTTTATCAATAATATTTTACATTATATGAACACTACATAGTAAGTAGTTCTCTTTATAAATTAAAAATTAAAAAAAAAGAAATTGAATTTTAAAAAGCATTTATTTTTAACAATAATATTTTAGATTATATGAACATATATCGTAAGTAGTTCTCTTTATAAACAATGCACAGATAGCATAAAAATGTGCATAAATATTTGTACATAATATATTTTGTTATATTAATATTGTATGTAATATTATATATGATTACAATAATAGATGGTAGTAAGCTTTATAAACTATGTACGAAATGCATAGAAATATACACAAATGTACACATTAGCCATCATGTATATAAGTAAACATGGTCCTTTAGTGCCTTGTGTTAAGTAAGTAATTACTTACCCAAAAATATCCCATTTGGGGCACTGCATAATGAAATGGCAATGGACGATATCACACACCATTCTTCCCTCATTTGAGATCGAGTTTAGCTCAGCTCACACAACTGCCCTAGCAGTTCATGCCAAAAAACTGTCTAAATTATATATATACATATCTATACCATTATCTATACCATATATCTATAGACATTATCTATACCATATAATAAAAGCATTGAGAATGGATCCAAATAATAAAAAACAAACAAGATATAGTAGTTACTAGATCTCTCTTCATGCGCTCTAAAGCTAACTTCAAATCCCAGCAACAACAATTCAACAAGGTCATAAATTTATATTGCAATCAATTTTTCTGTGCCATAACCCAATGTTTGGAAAAGGGTCTCATTAATACTACTATACAAAGGAATTGCTGAGAGCAACTTTCTCTAGGTTTGAGGAGCAGGCAAAACAAATATTTTTCTCCAAAAGTAATAACCTCTTGGAGAAATTTTATACAGAGTTAAAGTAATAATTTTATCATTAAGCGTAAATTTTCTTCCTTTTGGCTTTTTCCTATGTTCTCTTAGTTGACTTAATATAAAATTACGAGCCCTCTTATTTAATGTTACTGAGAGATAAGCAAAATTTTCAGCACATTTGAGACTTTCTTGTAACTTCTGCCTAAATGTTTTTTTTGTATATTTATTTTCCTTACTTCCTTTCACAACACATTTGTTATACGGTATAAATTTTGTTCTTTGCATATCTGATCTCCGCACTGCTTATATCTTGAGTTACGAATTTCTGTTGAAAAAAATATCTAGAATCATTTGCTACTATTAAGAGTATATGTAAAATATATTACGGTATGTGTTTCTATCTAGAAGGCAGTTTTGTTCTGCATATGGATAAATAAGAAAACATTAGTGGAAAAATGTTGTTGCAAAAATTATATTATATTGAATCGCCTACCTGGCATGCTTCATGTAGGCAATGCATTAGGTTTCAGTGTAGTTATATTTCTTTTGCATATACTTGCAAAATGTGCGTCACACACGAACCGAGACCTAGACGAACGCAAAGGTGTTAATTTCTCTAGATCAGGATTTTTTATTCTTTCCAGGCAAATAGCAAACATCTACAACATCCAAAACAATATTTATTTGTGATTAATGTTTGGTCATTTTATTCTTATTACGTACTTTGTCATTTCTCGCTGGAAATACATGCAATTTTGCATTTTTTTTAGTATTAGTGCACCCTGGAACATAACACTTCGACATTTTGCTTGCAAACTAATCACCTGTCGAAATTGTTTGATTGCCCGCGTTGAAATTCTTACCCGATGAGTTCCAAATTGCTGCAA